GGGGGGAATGGATCCGGGAATTCAGACGGGGGCCTCATCGGGAAGGTTGGATCAATTTGGGTCCAATCGTTGAAGATGAGTCTGTAATCTCTCGGGATTCCATGCTCTGTCCCGGCCGCCCGGTCTCCTGTCCACTCGATTCGAGCCATCCATCCACCACGTTGCCCGCCCAACCATTCCATACTAAACCCCGTGATTGCCCTCTTTATATCCTGGTCAGTCTGAAGAATGTCTAGCTGTGATTTGAGGTCGCCCCATCTTCGTGACGGTTCCAACTGCACTAGTTCCTTTATCTGCCCAGTCAGTTCAGGGCCCTCAATCTTAACCCCCTCCAACACTAAAAGGCAGCGCTGCCACCAAAGCGCCCAGAGGACAGACCGGCTACCCAAGCTATATAGGTTACCCACATAGGAGGGGGCTCTTTCCATTGCCGGACAGTGTCCAGCAAGGATGGCTTGCCAAGACCATGGCCAGGGAATGTCCGATTTTGCCTTCCTCCAAATGCGATCCCACCATCTCCACGTCAGTGTGGCCACCGGGCATTGCATAAAGATATGCTCAATGGTTTCATTCTTTTTTTGCATTGGGAATGCTGCAAGGCATCGGTGGCACCATGGGTGCGCTTTCCCTTTTTGTTCTAAATGTGTGTGGTCAATTGGCCAAGCATTTGTCGGCAGACAACGATGGGCAATCTGCCATTGCAGAGACGTAATTTTTGCTGGCCTGGCTTTTGTCCCATTGAACCATTTAATGGGTGTAAGGAGAGACCGATCCACATCCAGGTGCTGGGCCCATCTGTCATTTATGCAGTCTCTTAGTGCTCTCTTAGGTCTGAGCATCTTATACACGGATCTGACAGATATGGTGTTGAGGTGGACTCTCTTTCCACACGCCGCTGCTATCCCCCTAGTCGTCTGCCATTGCCATTCAGCGGGGTCGATAGCAAGTTTGTGTATCGGCGTTTGGGGAAGAAAGGCCTTAAAGTCTTGATCTTCTTGGAACACTCTTACTCGGTACGCTTTTGTTTTCTCCCGCCACTCGAAAGGGTTGCGAGAGGCTTGAAGCTTCCCCCTTGGCCTGATTGTGTAATATTCCACCAAAACATCCGATGACCGTACCCAGTGAATCTGACCTATCCGTGTGACATCGCCCGAAATAGCGACCAGTCCCCTTCCTCCAAGGTGGGGCCTTTTTTTAGCACCTTGTACCAGGCCAGAGGGATTGCTTCGATAATCATCTCCAAGTGATGCTCCGTGTGGTGGCAGTACCTGAGGGTATCTTGCAGTTGGGTTGCTGTTTCCAGTCCTTCCTCTCCTGATCCCATATATGCCCAACCCGAAGTACCCCATTTTTTACCCATCCCTTCCAGGGAGTTGTTGAGCTGTTCAAAATCTGTCCATGATGAGAGGTAATCCACCGGTTTCCAAACAGTGGTTGCCGGCTTACTTCCTCCCAGCGCTTCGGTGCCTGTTTTTCGGGGAGGGGGAGCCTGCGCCAACTCTTAAGCAATGATGGCCAAAATTGGTCAACTGTTTGGCCCTGGATCTTGCGCGGGATTGACCAGTAGCGGTCCTCTAGCCATGTGAGCGGACTCACCTCTGGTGGGGCCGGTGGGGCCAACCGAGCGATGTGTTCCAGGGCCAGAATCTGCCAAGGGTTGTCTGCAGCAAAGATCAGCGACTTCAGCCATTTGAGACGGAGGACCTGGACTTGTGTTGTGGGATCGATGATGCCCAGGCCCCCCGCTCTTTTTGGTTGTATGACTGACTCCCATGCTACCCTGCTGATGACGTTTGCCCGTTCGTCGTCTCCTCTCCATAGGAAGGCCGCTACTCTGGATCTCAGCTCCCTGCTTCATGAGCAGGCCATAGCTAATGACTCTTTAGTCACCCCGCAGACTCATCCAGACCAAACTATGCTCTGTACGTTGGATGTGTCTGAAGCCTTAGAAGATCTAGAAAGTGAGTGGTCAAACAAGGACCCTCGCGAGACTTGGGTGGCGCTAAGGAAAGGTCCTAGAGGGGAACATTTCGTGGTGGAGGTCGATGTAGGAGGCCGCAAATGTGGTGCCTTCATAGACATAGGCTCCACGCAGAATTATATAAGTCGCGACTGTTTGGAAAGGCTGCACCTACAGGACCGGGTACGGCACCTTAGTAGACCTGTAGCATCTACGTTGGCCAACAAGGAGTGCATGATAGTAACAGACTATATCAAGGACGTAGTCTGTACCTTCTCCTATGGAGGAGGCGAACTTAATCATAAGATTTCGTTCTTGGTTAGCGACGACTTACCATTCGACATGTTGTTAGGCATGTACTACCTCGAAGTTGCTAAGCCCCAGTTTGACTGGGATAAGAAGGTGCTCAAGCATAAGTTGCCCGATGGTCGAACTGTCAGCTTGACTAAGTTCAAGGCCAGTAGCATTATAGATACCTATGGCTGCTTGTGTGCATCAGCGTTCTACAATTACTACAAGCAAAACCAAGAGGAAGGTATGTACCTTGTATATGTCTCTGGGAAAGGGGAGGTCCTTAAAACACCCCCAGAGATAGAATGCGTCGTTGCTAAGTTCCCCGATCTGTTCAAAAAGCCCACAGGAGTTGTTGAAAGGGAAGTTCTCCACGCTATAGAAATCATTCCAGGGAGTAAGACCCCAAAGGGAAGGATCTATAGGATGGCTCCCGCCGAGTTAGATGAACTTCGGCGACAGCTTAAGGAGCTGACAGAGAAGGGATGGATTCGGCCTAGTACTTCCCCTTACGGATCTCCCGTGCTATTCGTACCGAAGAAGGGGGGTACATTGAGGATGTGCATTGATTATAGAGGCCTCAATGCCATCACTGTGAAGAACGCAGAGCCTCTACCTCGCATAGATGACCTATTGGATAGGGTGCAGGGATGCAAGTACTATAGCAAAATAGACTTGAAATCCGGCTATTATCAGATCGCTATAAGACCTGAGGACCAACACAAGACAAATTTTCAGACACGTTAAGGTCTGTACGAGTTTGTAGTGATGCCCTTTGGTCTTTGCAATGCGCCGGGAACGTTCCAGCACGCTATGAATCGGATCTTCCATGACCGTTTAGATAAGTTTGTCGTGGTCTACCTTGACGACATCCTGATCTTTAGTAAGTCTGCTGAGGAGCATACACAACATGTTGAGACGGTACTTTCACTTCTTCGACAACACAAGTATAAGTTCAACTTAGAGAAGTGTGAATTCGGTCGCACTAAGATATTATACTTGGGTCATGAAGTATCCGCGGAAGGGATTAGGCCGAAAGATGTGAAGGTGGCTAGTATACGCGACTGGCCACGACCTCAGACAGTCACTGAGGTCAGATCATTCTTAGGAATGTGCGGCTACTATAGGAACTTCGTTAAGAACTATTCTACAGTCGCCTCTCCTTTGACTGATCTAACTCGACTTGACACGCCGTGGGACTGGAGTGATGAGTGCAAGGGTGCTTTCAAGAGATTGAAGCATGTACTCATGAATCATGAGGTCCTCATGGTTCCCGATCCTCAGAAGCCATTCATAGTGACCACTGACGCAAGCCAATACGACATTGGTGCAGTGCTGGCTCAGCAGGATGGGAAAAAGTTGAGACCGATTTGAGTACATGAGCAAGATGCCATCGAAGAAGTTGGCAAAGTCCACCTACGAAAGGGAACTCTATGCTCTATACAAATCATTCGTCCATTGGAGACACTTCCTATTGGGAAAGTTCTTCTACTTGAGGACTGATCATCAGACCCTCAAATGGATCAAGACTCAACCGGCTCTTTCTGACGCACTCAAGCGATGGATTGAGGTCATAGACCAATATGACTTCAAGCTTGAGTATCTGAAGGGAGAGTATAACAAGGTTGTTGATGCGCTATCACGTAGAGCAGACTACCTAGGTGCGCTAGTTTCTGACTTTGGCGTATCTGAAGAAGTAACTCAATCATTGGTGGGAGCCTATCAGGAAGACCCTATCACGATGGACATCATGCGCAAACTTCAGGCAAAAGACAAGGCCACGGAAAGTGAGTTTGTGATGGTGGACGGGTTACTCTATCTTGATAAGGCCGGAATAAAAAGATTAGTAGTCCCATCTAGTGAACATTTGCGTAGTTTGTTTTTAGGCGAATGTCATAACGCAACTGGGCACTTTGGCTACAAGAAGACGAGTGCTAACCTAGTACAACGATTTTGGTGGCCAGGAATGTTAGATGATGCAAAGAAGTACGTAGAGACCTGTCAGGTCTGTCAGCGGGACAAGCCGCGAACTCAAGCACCGCTTGGGTTGTTGAAGCCTTTGCCTATTCCTGCTACTCCAGGACAGAGTGTTTCCATGGATTTCATGGACACCCTGGTGACTAGTAAGAGTGGCAAGAGGCACATCTTCGTCATCATCGATCGATTCACCAAGTACGCTAGACTAGTGGCTATGCCAGAGACCGCAAGAACTGACTATGTCATCAAGTTGTTCAAAGACAACTGGGTGTGTGACTTTGGTTTACCAAAGTCAATCGGTAGTGACTGAGATGTCCGATTCACAAGTGAGTTGTGGAAGAAGACTGCAGAACAGATGGGCAGTCAACTTCAGATGACTTCAGGAAATCATCCCGAAGCCAACGGACAAGCTGAGCAAATGAACAGAGTTGTACAGCGCTTGCTGAGGCATTACATCAAGCCCAACCAGGCTGACTGGGATGAGCAGTTGCCTCTCATCGCCAGCCTGTACAACAATGCTGTCCACAGCAGTACCAGCGTTAGTCCTAATCAGCTACACTTGGGATGGAAGCCTAGATCGGCATTAAACTTCCTCCTACCTGAAAACCGACCCGCTGCAACTCCAGGCACACTTGAGTATGGTGTGCAGTATGAGAAGTTGTTGCAAGACACTGTCGAGCACATGAAGAAATCTCAGCAAGCAATGATTGCTTCTGAGAATCAACACCGTAGACAGTCCACATTTCAGGTAGGAGAACGTGTCTGGGTCAAGGCTAGTGAATTAGGACAGGAATTCGAAATCTCTCGCAAACTAATGCCTTAGTACTTTGGTCCCTAGGAAGTCCTGGATATAGTGGGAGATGAGATGGATAGCCCCACATATGTCATTCGTGTCCCTGGACACCTACGCACTCACCCAGTCTTTCATGCCTCAAAGCTTGCACCTTTCGCTGAGACAGATCAATTCCCTTCGAGGAGATCGATGCTGCCCCCAACCATGGATGGTCAAGTGGACATCGACGACATTGTGGATCACAGGGATATGCCTGTTCCGAAGCCGATGGGTCGCGGAAGACCTCCTAAACCCAAGAGAGAGTATCGCGTCAGATTCAGGCATCATACGGATCCAAAAGAAGATCGGTGGTTTACCAGAGAGGAACTGATTGAGACAGCTCCTCAGGTGGTGGCAGAATATGAGAGACTGCTGAAAGGGAAGGCACCTGCGAAGTAAGCATCTCAGCGGACTTTCGAAGCTAAGGGGGATGGAATGTGGGGATTGAGCCCTCAAGAAGGGGCCTTGCCATGATGTACATGTTCTGGGCTAAGGCCCCAGCAANCCTCAAGAAGGGGCCTTGCCATGATGTACATGTTCTGGGCTAAGGCCCCAGCAAGCCTAGTGCCCGCCCTAAGTGAAGGCGGGCCAGCAAATCAAAAAGAGCCCTCTGTGCAAACATTTCCCGAAGTGGGGTCCATACAGTTGCAGCACGCCAGTTGGTTGGAGTGCACCAAGTCTCGAATCTCTGCAAATGTGGAGATCCCAGGGCCTCTGAGTTAGTTAGGCCCTAGGCACTTGAACGTGAGGCCGACAATGCATGTTGGGTATAGAGACCGAAAATGCCAAAGGGAAATCGGCCTACTATCTGAATCTGGCCGCAGGCCTTGACGAAAGAGGCGCAACTGCATCACCCGGGCCCCAACTGCATCGGGCCTGGGTTCAGGCACTGGGGCCCAGTCGCAGGCTGAAGGGAGGCCGCCCACACGCAGCACTGGCATATAGGCAAGCAGGGTGAGTGGGCAAGGATCTTGGCCATTGCGGGCAATGCCGGCACGCTGCACTAATGCGAGCTGCTGCGCTGCTGCGTTGCGCTAAGAAGAGGTGCAAGGCAGGCCGGCGCTAGGCGGTAGGGCGCTGCCTGTGCACTAGGCGCTGGCGGCCATAGCCGGGCTGCATAGGGCGCAGGGGAGGTGAGGGCGAAGGTGGTTCTTTGGAGGTGAAGGGCGTGTGGGTAATCAAGGGAGAGTGTGGGTGAAGGAGGAGACGTACCTGGTGGAGGTGGGAGGTCGGCATTGGTGTTAACATCATCACTTGCTGGTAGTCAAGTTGTCTGGTTGCTTTCATTGCTGTAGTTGTAGGCTTAGTCTGTAGAGTAGGTAGGGCGCCTGGCGCCATTCAGAGAGAGTGCTACATTGGGTTATGTTGTTGGTGTTGCCCTGTTGGGCTTGGACATTGGCTCACGATTCTTCTGTATTGTTCTCAAATGGATGGTTACTCGGTTCCATTGTGCTATCTGCTCTGGCTTTGACTACTTGGACTTCAGTGTGATTTTGCAATCTGGATTTTTGTGCTTCGTCCATACTCATGTTCCTTGCACTGGCTATGGTGGCAGCCATCTTCATCACCTTGGTGGGCGCTGCAGCAGGGAGTCCCCAACTGGGGAGAGTTACACCAAGAAGCTTCGAGGCGGGGTCGGGCATAGCGGCCTGAGCTAGAGCAGCCATAGCTGCTTCGGGTTGTCCTTTGGGCATCTGGGCAAGGCCTAGTCGTCCGCCATAGCCCCGGCCTATGAGAGTGAAGAGTGGGAGGGGCGGCCATGGTTATGGTGGACCTCAAGTGTTACCTGCAGTAGAAGATGAAATCGGACATTGATTCTGGATCAGCCATTCAACATTGTATTATTATTTCTTGTATGAATAAGAGAAGGGGGAGACAAGGAGGAGGAGATTGTGGGGCGAAGAAGAAGAGCCTTGTCATTTGTCTGTGCTGGTGTACATCATCTTCTTCTTCTTTCTTACTTCTTCTTCTTCTTCTTTCTTACTTCTTCTTCTTCTTCTAATCCTCTCTCTCCTCTCAAGTTCATTCATTTCTTTCTGCAATTGGACGACATTGTACTATCTGATGGATGTGTATCTCAAAATTGGTCAGGATCATAACATTGGTATCAGAGCGGATTTTACTTGCGGGTGAGAGTTGACTTTGCTGCCCTAACCCTAACCTAAGTGGATTGAGGGCGCCACTTAGGGTTCGGGTTGGTTTGTGAAGGGAAGAGGGGCAGCGTGGTTGAGGGAAGCTGCCCCTACCGTTAGGTCACGGAGGGTCGACGTTGAACCTAACCAGGTTGCTTGAGAGTGAGATTAGGGTGGCGAGACATTTCGAGGAGGCTTCATGCGGCAATTTGAGAGAGGCAACAATGAGAGGCACTCACACCTGGAATCTGATTCAAGGGAGACACTTGGCAACTTAAGGGCTGCCCATAAAGTAGGCGAGCTTGAGGGACAGCGGCCACTCAGCATCTACGGACTGCAAGTTGCTACTTTGTTCTTCGGCAATGACGGGGGATCCGGTGTTGCACTTGGGTGTTGAGTCAGACCCTCCTAGGAGATAGGACACTAGTGTAGGGGTAGCGTTAGAGGGGTCAGGAGGATCACATGAGAGGGGGGTAAGTTCTATTCATCTCGAAGCTCAAGGCCACTTAGGTAAGTGTCGTGCACCTACGGGATGCTCATGTGTGTGTGCATGGTATGGTTTGTCCTGTTGGGGTTACTCTGGGTTTCTTTTCCTACTCCTCTGTGGTCTTGATTGTGTGATTGAGTGCATGCGACCTACCTACTCACGTGATGGATGGAAAATGAAGTATCTTGATCTAAATGTCGAGTCTTTCTACAGTGCTTTGTCTCTCATCTCTGAACGGTTGTAGTTTGTAGGTTCTGCCGGAGGTTGACATTTCGTTGTTCAGTACAATAGAAACTGATCTAAGTCCATGAGTGACTCCTCTTGGTTGGGACCTGGCCGCGACCTACGTGGGACCTCTGGAACCCAGTGGGACCGAGCCCAAACAAGAAGAGCCCTTTGGGCCCAAATCGGTTAGGCATTAGCCCACTGTCTTCTGACTGTGATACAAAGTTCTTTCTTCTTGGTTAGGACACCCACTGCCGAGGGGATCTCGACTGAGACGTTTCGCATGTCTTTTGGTTGCACTGTCCGTGGCTTGACTCGCACCCTGTACAACACGCAATTCTCCATTGTTGCATTTAGTCACTCGTTGTCTGATTTGTTGTATGGTCACGGAGCTGGTCAGACTGGACTCGAGAGGACCTCATATGCAGTCTGATCAGACAGGGTCGCTGGATCAGACCTCTCATATGAATTTGTTTGTTGTTCTTTGGTTTGCTACTCTCTAAGCCCAAATGAAATGTCGCTCCCGCTAGGAGTTCTACCTTCTCTTCTCTGAGCTATTCAGTCTGTTTCTCTGAGTTCATTTTCGATGCCCGTGGAGACTCGCAACCAGAAAGAAAAGAGAGAGACGAGAGAGAGAAAAGGGAGAGAGGGAAAGTGACCGTCTGGAGTGGGTAAGGACTGGGAAAAAGAGTGTTCGTCCAGGTAAAAAGGGGAGTGTACCTCTTGAGAGTCTAATTGATTTTTTTGTTGATTGGCGTCTCTCTGACCCACCTGCCAACACTAACGATCCGAAAATAGCCCAGCTATCCTCAGGACAATGGCGGACCCTATTAAATGCAGCCAGCGATACGGAGAAACCGTATCTGCAAGCACTCCTAGATAGTGCTATAGAAAGGGAACAGGAAGCGGAGAAGGAGAGGAAGGAACAACTGTTGAAAAGTCAGGAGGCCATCTTGGAAACTGTTCCCTCGCTGACCAAAGAGCAGTGTGGGGAACAACTGCAGTCCATACTGACCGCTATCGTCCAAGTCCGGAGGCTTGAAGATCATACCACTCAGATCGCCGACGTCTTCGCAAAATTGAAGACACTTCAGGAGGATCTGATTGATATGACCAGCAAGTACCGCGACTTGATGGTAGAGGTTGCTGCGTTGCGACAGGCCCAAATAACCAATCATCTTCCTCTACCCCCTGGTCCCGGAGCTGCGATTGAGACTAATCTTGCCCCTCTTATTGTATCTACTTCCGTTGCTTCCTTGAGTGTGATGGTGAACCCTTCGGGACCTGCAACAGGTGCAGATTCCGCTGTTGCCGTAACAAGCAACAAGCCAGGAAACTCTACAACTGCTACAGCCCCAAGATCTGAACCAGCAGGTGCTGGTCCCAGCTATGTTGGTCCCCATGTGGACCGAAAGGCGGTGCAAATACCGTGTAAGTACGACGACAAAGAAGACATTGCATCCTGGATCAGCTCCATGAGGGCATACTTCGAGGTGTTGGGAACTCAACCAGAGACCCAGCCAGTGATCATGGGAATGAATGTCGAGCCGGTTGTACGGGGATTCCTAGAAGTCCAAGCTACGCGGGCTGGGGTTCCAAAGATCGAACTGACAAGGTGGCTTAAGGCCACCCCGGTCGCCTTCCTCGAGGAGCTCCTCATTGCCCAGTATAAGGATCCACACGCTGCAGCAAGGGCAAGAAACCAGCTTGACAAAATCAAACACAGCAAGTGGACGGGCTCCATGAAAAGCCTGCAAACCTATCTCAGCAAGATGTTTGCTACACCTGGTCTTGAACTGACTGACCAATCTTGTTTGGATGTGGTCAAGGGCGCAGTCCCCACCAGTTTTACTAATCGCCTAAGCAGAGACTTCATTGGGTATACTGACTGGTTCACTCTAATGAAGGACATAGTCAGTCTCGAGGCGGCAGACCTCGTCACCACATCAGGCAGCAAAAAGCCCATGGGCGGCAGGCGGTTCAAAGGCAGCAGCCGTTTTGCTGTGCATGACCTGCTGGAGGCTGAAGAGGAGGCCGAAGCAGATGACCCCACTCTTGGTGACGACCAAGAACAAGACGCTGATACAGCCTGTTCGTCAGCCCATGAGTCTGATGTAAATCAAGGAGAAGAAAATTTTATTGCCTTTAAAAAGACTGCCAATGCAAGGGGACCGAATCAGAATGCGGGGAAGAATTATGTCCAACTTTCCAAGGGAGTCAAAATCCCAGCAAAACTGGAGGATGCGGCCACTAAACCATGGGTCGACCTCTGGATCACTGAAAATTATTGACGGGGTAGACTCAAGGGGGTATGCCTGCATTGACAGAAACCAAACCATAAAGTACAGGATTGCTATAGGCTGCAGGGAAACTAGACCCGGGCGTAGAGTCGACTTCAGCACACTCTACAGCAAGGGAGACTGAATCTGATGCAGATCAACAGTCCTCCCTTGAAGCCTAATCATCTGCTAAAGACAAGGCTGAAGTGTGTGATGTGTTGTATGTCAAACCTTGGGAGGAGTCTGGGACGGTCGACTTCCACTACCACTTGGAGCATTGGGCTGAGATTAAACAGCAGCGTGCCCAAGGGACAGTGAAGTTGATCTTCTTCAAACTTCTCATAAACCACCGCTATCTCCGTGTCTTGATTGACTGTGGCGCGACGACTAACTTTATGTCACCTCACGGGATACGCAAAGTGGGCTTGGGAATGAAGCAAGTGGTCTTGCAGAACCCTTGCCGAACCCAAGTTGGCAACAAGGAAGTTGTCTCTTCTACGCATGCAATCAAAGGTGTGCGCACTACCTTTGACAAGAACAAAACTGTCACCCACGCGCTGAACTTCTATGTCCTTGACAAGTGCCCCTTCGACGATGTCCTTGGCTTGGGCTGGCTGCAGCCCCAATGCGAATGGACCAAATGGAAGGAGTCACTCTTCATGGTCAAAGATGCTCGAGGGAACAAGCTTCCTGTCGTCTTGGATGGGAAGCACGAGTCCCCAGTGACTTTTCTGAATGTTATGAAGTTCTGCAAGAAATGGCGCAAACACAAGGAGGAAGAACAGTTGTACGTTGCCTTTGTTCGTCCTACCCATGTGCCATCTACTTTTGCGGTTAATACCACTACTAACACCTCTACTTCTCTACCTCCTACTACTCCAAATGATCCCACTTCAGAGTCGATTGCCTCTATTCGCGACTTGCGACCTGACTTATGTGATCCCTTTGTTGATCCTCCACCCCTACCGGTTCCACCGAACATCCAAAACTTACTCGACCGGTTCCCAGAAGTTCTGGCCGAGCCACATGGAGTCCCCACACGATCGGTCTGACACACCATCGAGTTGGTCGAGGGTGTTGTTCCTCCAAAGGGCTGCGTGTACCGAATGGGACCCGGCGAGTTGGAGGAACTCCGGCGACAGATTGACGAAATGATTGACAAAAGGGTGGATCAAGCCTAGCGAGTCTGAATTTGGTGCTCCTGTCTTGTTTGTTCCAAAGAAAGGAGGCAAGCTCCATATGTGTATTGACTATCGCGCCTAAACCGCATCACAAGAAAGAACGCCTATCCATTATCCCGAACAGATGACTTGCTTGATGCCGCAGGTGGGTGCAAGGTCTTCTCCAAGATCGATCTCAAGTCTTGCTACCATCAGACTAAAGTCGATCATGTGGACCAGCACAAGACTGCGTTCAAAACACGCGATCGGCTTTACGAGTTTACCGTAATGCCCTTCGGTCTTACAAACGCACCGGCCACCTTCCAAAGCCTCATGGACAAAGTCCTCCGCGAACAGATTGGCCGGTTTGTGGTGGTCTACCTCGATGACATACTAATCTTCAGCAAGTTCATGGAGGAACACCTCAAGCACTTGAGGAAGTACTGACCAGCCTCAAGAAGACGCAACTCCATCTCAACTTAGAGAAATCTGAGTTTGGGAAGGATAGTGTCATCTATCTTGGGCACCAGTTGTCTGCTGCAGGCCTAGAGCCAGAGGCAACCAAGGTGGAGGTCATACGCAACTGGCCTCAGCCTGTGAATGTTTGCGAGTTGCGCTCTTTTCTTGGTCTCGCGTCATCTATGCTCTGCATATGGCTTTGGATCATTGGAAACACTATCTTTTGCGACGCCACTTCAAAGTGTTCTCAGATCATGAGACTCTGAAGTGGATCAAGGAGCAAACTACCCTATCCCCTACGTTAATTCGGTGGTTCCATGAAATTGACATCTTTGACTTTGAGTTGAGACACAAAAAGGGTTGTTATAATCGAGTCGCTAACGCATTGTCTCGCCACCCTGAGTACATGACTTGCCTTGTGAAATCCTACGACCTCCGGAAGAAACTGAAGGAGGAGCTCGTAGAGCACATAGCCAAGGATCCAAAGCTTAGTCCCATCCTTGAGCGGCTGCGGGCTGACCCTAGCAGTCAGCCTGATTTTCACGAGTATGGGGGACTGGTTTTCCGTCACTACGGGAACCACGACCGTTTGTATGTGTCTAACCATGAGCCTCTCCGCACATACTTTCTGGATTTGGCTTATGACCGGAGTGGACACTTCGGCATGGCAAAGACGTACGCAAATCTGCTGCGATAGTTTGATTGGCCTGGCATGAAAGGGATTGCTGAAAAGTTTGTGGCTGAGTGTCAAGTCTGTCAACGAATCAAACCATGCAGAGAAAAGCCCATGGGGCTACTCGCACCCCTTCCCATTCCCGATGGTCCCGGGGAGTCCGTCTCCATCGACTTCACCGACATGGGAAAGGTAAGTAAGAACGGCTACTCACAAGTCATGGTGATTGTTGACCGATTCTCTAAGTTTCTCAATCTGATCCCTTTGTCGCCACACGCCCCAACAGAATTAGTGATTCATGAGTTCCAACAGAAGTACATTCTGCAGTTCGGGACCCCGAAGACTCTCGTAAGCGATCGGGACCCCCGCTTCATTAGTACTGAATGGAAGGACTTCACGTCTCATATGGGGATCAGGCTGTGTATGACATCTGACCGACACCCTGAAGCCAACAGTTTGGCTGAAGAAATCAACCAGATTGTGTTCCAACTTCTCCGCCCTTTGATTATCCCGGATAAGGAAACACGGGATGAAGAGTTGTATTCCATTAGGGGGTTGTACAACAACTCCATCCATTCTGCCACCGGCATGACACCTAACAGGCTGCATCTCGGCTGGCAGATCCGTAATCCACTCTCCTACCTATTCCCTGAGCAGCCAGTTGGCTTAACACCCGGCAGGCCTGGCTTCAAGGCCAAGTATGATCGCTTGCTCAAGGTTGCCATTGCAGCCATGACCAAGCGACAACACGCCATGATCCATCACGCGAACAAGAGGCGCCGACCGTCGGACATTCAGGTAGGAAGCTATGTCTGGGTCAAGATATCTGAATTCTCAGAAGAAGAAGGGGTCTCTCGCAAACTTCTCCCACTCTATTACGGACCGTGGGAAGTTTTGGATGTGATTGGCGAAGACCACTTTGGCCCTTCGTACGTAGTTGATGTGCCAGCCCATCTGCGCACACACCCCGTGTTCCATGCATCGAAATTGTACCTCCACCATGATGATAAGACGTTCGACTATCACGAAGACATGATCCCTCGTGCGATCAAGGGCGGGCATGAGATAGACAGAATCAAACAGCACGTAGGGAAGGGACACAACAGACAGTACCAGGTTCACTTCATGTATCACCCATTAGACGATTTGTACTGGATTTCCAAACAGGAACTGTTACGCAGCGCACCGTGCATTGTCAAAGCCTGCGAGCGACAAATCGCCACTAACGTTGTACCTAAGATCTCTGCAAGACTCACTGCAACAGAGTACTCTAGGAACCTCTTTGCCTTGCTTGCTTATGATGCGTTTGTCGAGGACTCAGAATAAGTTACTCGCTCGAAGGGACCCCGCTCTTGAGGGGGAAGTAGTGTGATGACCCGTCCAAACATGGACTGAAACACACAGCTGATTTCTGAGTTTTGCCCATAGACTGAATACCCTGCTGAGTTTCCCGCTTGCTACTAAGTCTGTGTGTGCACGCTTGCTGGACTTCATGTCTGTCTGAGTGCTGGTTGGCTTGAGTGTGTGTGTGGCCATTGTCGGCGCGAATACCCTTACAAGGGTATCCGCCCTGGTTTTTGCAAGTGACAGAAAACGAGTTTGACCCGGAATTGTTGAGAAGGCCGCGCGACTTGCGGCAGTGTGATGACTATAGGTTGGCTATGAGGTCTAGAAGTAGAGAGTGCGTGGGCGCGCAGGGTTTGAGGCGCGCGAGATTTCTTTCCTTGTCGTTGATTTTAAAGCCGGCGCGGACGCCGGTCGGCTTAATTTTGTTTTATTTTTGTTTTTGATTAAGTAGGAATTAAGGATATTTTCTTTTGATTTGTACGTTTGACCGAGGCGAGCGCGCGTGCGAGGGCGACGGCATCGACAACGACGGTGCGACCTTGTGCGGTAAATGGGGCGGCGTAGGATGGCGCGCGGGGGCGGCTACAGCACGGTTTGGGTAGGCCGGCGTGGATACTTAGCGGCCGTGGGTTTGGTTGCAGGCAGAGACGATGCCCAGGCCATTTTTCTGACCCAGGCGCTGCGTCGCATCACCTTATATTGGGTTTTGTGTAGGCTAACTCCAGACTTGGGGCTAGCCCTATTGGTTACAGCATTGGATTTGGGAGACGGAGGTTCGAGGATCGAGGCCAGCAGGCATCGGTGCAGCAATTACAGCGGAGCGTCGCGAAAGGAACTGATGGGGTTGAGGGTTGCCAGGGCTATCCCCCTCGGTTTTGTCTGCAGGCGCGGCGGCGGGCCCGATTCGCGGGGCCATGTGTGAAATTCGCGGGATTGCTTGAAGTGCAAGTGCAAACTGTTTTCGTGACTGCGCCGAAGTTGTAGTTTTTTTATATATACCTCCTTTCTAATTTTTGACGACGTCCCGTGTTGCCTTGGGACGTGGTACCGTGGGTATAATTAATACCCAAAGGCCTAGCTCAGCGGGTACACCCATGAACTGTTGGAGCACAGGCCGCGTCTGGCCCAGATGATGGGGCCTGCCGGGTACGACCACACATTTTGGACTGCCTGGGGAGGCAGCGCGGGTTTGGAGGAGGGTCGTTCGGCCTTTGGCAGTACATCGGGGCACTGCCCTAGTCGGAGTCCTTTGGGACATCCGTTGAAATTGGAACGGCGCCGGGGAGTCTAGTGCGACACCTGGGCAAGGCCGATGAGCATAAGACGGGGTGAACTTCCGCTTCTCGGTTGTTTGCCTCGGTCTTCAGTCAGCCTAGTCTCCGTGCGGGCCAGAGTGGTGTATGCGTGGTGAGTGGGATGCGTCCTAGTCGACCGACGACGAGCCCTGCTTGGGACTTCAGCCCCCCAAGATGACGGTTCGTGTGTGGGTCCGATAGGCGTATTACCGCACGTACCCCCTATGCTACAGCGAACGAGAAACGCCCTCGGCTGGTCCACCTTCGCGATTGCAACCGAGTAGCTTTCGTACTGTGGACTGGTAGCTCGGCGGGGATACGCCCACCGATGGGAGGTGACAGGTGGAGGTAAGTTGTGCCTCGCGTAGGCCCTATCCTGTCGTAGGGGCTCGCGAGAGGTATGGCTGGCGCACTCGGCCGGAGCGGCCTAAGGAAGCTCCATTTGTGCGTTCGTGTCGAGGTGGGTCCAACTCCTGCGTGACGCGGCCGAGAGGGTCCCGCGCTGCCACGTGCGGTGCCGGACCGATGCGCCCGACACCGTGCCTGTCTGAGTGCTGGTTGGCTTGAGTGTGTGTGTGGCCGTGCCTGTCTGAGTGCTGGTTGGCTTGAATGTGTGTGTGGCCCGCAAGGGCACTTGCTCGTTCATTGGGCCCTCAGGGCCGGTACTTACCTGTGGCTGTGACATTGCGGGATGGCAGCAGGAAAAACACTCAAGTAGCGGGTAGGCTGGTACCGCACCCTGAAGGGGTAGATGTGCGGGTACTGGAGGCCGAGCAGAAGAAGACAAAAGTGGCATTTTTAGAGGCCCAGTAGTTGTAGGTTAGGTCTAGGCGGATACAAGTCCAACCAGTCTGGGTCTAGGGCCTGTACGGGCAATATCAGAGTCTGCAATGATGTTTCCCTCCGAAAGGGAGGAGGTACCGGTTGCTTGGAAGGCCGAGCGGCCTGGAAGTCACCGCCTGAAGAGGCAAGCAGGCCGCTATATCTCCCAGCCGGGCGAAGAGCCCGGCCTCTTTTTCGGTGTGCAAGTTTGGCGACACACCGGTTGGAGCACCGGTTGGAGCAGCGCTATCCAAGAGCAGCGCTGCTGGGGGAAGGAGAAGGACACGGAGGAAGAAGAAGGACAGGAAGGGGGAGGAGCCCCAGGGGTACTTATCTGGCTATGGTGGCAGCCATCTTCATCACCTTGGTGGGCGCTGCAGCAGGGAGCCCCCAACTGGCGAGAGTTACACCAAGAAGCTTCGAGGCAGGGTCGGGCATGGCGGCCTGAGCTAGAGCAGCCATAGCTGCTTTGGGTTGTCCTTTGGGCATCTGGGCAAGGCCTAGTAGTCCGCCATAGCCCCGGCCTATGAGAGTGAAGAGTGGGAGGGGCGGCCATGGCTATGGTGGACCTTAAGTGATACCTGCAGTAGAAGAGGAACTCGGACATTGATTCTGGATCAGCCATTCAACATTGTATTATTATTTCTTGTATGAATAAGAGAAGGGAGATAAGGAGGAGGAGATTGTTGGGCGAAGAAGAAGAGCCTTGTCATTTGTCTGTGCTGGTGTACATCATCTTCTTCTTCTTTCTTACTTCTTCTTCTTCTTCTAATCCTCTCTCTCCTCTGAAGTTCATTCATTTCTTTCTGCAATTGGATTGCATTGTACTGTCTGATGGATGTGTATCTCGAAATTGGTCAGGATCATAAGAGCTGTCTTAATTCGTCACAAAGTAATTTCAGTATCTGGGGTAAATCTGATTCATCGTAGGTATTTGGCACAATTCGATGGATCGTACCAAGCATCGTGAGGATTCTCGACCTCACGGAACCCTGAAATGTCGCAATGTACGCAGGGGGGGGGGGGGGGGGGGGGGGGGGGGGGAAGGGGGGGGAGAGGGGGGGGGGGGGGGGGGGGGGGGGGGGGGGGGGGGGGGGGGGGAGAGAGAGAGAGAGAGAGAGAGAGAGAGAGAGAGAGAGAGAGAGAGAGAGAGAGAGAGAGAGAGAGAGAGAGAGAGAGAGAGAGAGAGAGAGAGAGATTCAGTTGGCACATGGCACCTACTATGTTGCTGCGATGTGCCAGCCGTGATCCCTCTCTGTGTCTCTCTCCGTCTTGCACGATATGTGGAGGTGGTACTTACCGGGGTGGTCCAGATGTTGTGGGGAAGCACTGGGAGCAGAGATGGAACGGTGGGAGCCAAAACTGGGGCGGGCCTCATTGGAAATACCGATGTCCCTAATTGTTCAAGAAGGACGGTACACTGCCATCCTCCATCCCGAAACATGTGGAACAGCCCAGTACCTGGGAACGGAGTGGCTAAATGAAACTACCGCCCTGTCATTGCTGCAGGCCTGAGTTTCAAACGCCTTTCTGAACTCAGGCTGTGACAAACTTGCAGAGAGCTGTTTTTTTGCATATTCGAAAGGTGACATAATCGAACCTGCCCCAAATTTTCTGTTTTTGGAAGCCCAATTTCGTGAAAAACAAGTCATGTTCATGCCTGGCTGCAGTACTGGTTGGGATTATGTTACACAGGGCGTTGGGACTTGGAACTGGGACCGGCACTGACATGCATGAAATCCTTTCAATTTGATCAAATGAACAAACCAGTAGCCACTTGGAGTGCCAGGTTGATGTGTGGGATATAGTTCACAAGTCCAGACATGCCCGATGATGCTCGTGACATGTGCCTGTACAGGTGATTGCATGGAAGAGTAGTTGATTGAAAGCAGCTGCTGGCCCATTACAGCTGTATTAAAAGCCAGTTCCCAGTTCGACACAGATGCAACCAGCAATATTCAATTTGCCACACAATGGTAGTCATTATGAATGCAAGGTGGATGGTTAGGGTATTGAAGATGTTTCTAAAATCAGTTTTGGTTGCTATGGATAGTGCCTGGAGTAGGATGGCTGTTTTATTTTTTTTTGGAGGGGGGAGGGGTGGGCGGTCATTCATCGATGATATGACCCATCAATCATATTCACATTGATTACAGTGCCCATTCTTTCGCCCCCCTCTAAATGCAACGAGGTTTCAGGAAAGAAAACAACAGCAGCACAGTTCCTTACTTAGAATTAGTGTCGGCACAGGTGTGTGCAATACACTTGTGTGCATCCAGAGAATCTGAAGAGAAGCCAAAGGCATTGCGTCTTGTACATTGGAAACTCCATCCTTTCAGTCTTATGTGATATGAGTGCATCAGGAAGCACGGCATTATTGAGGGATCTTGACTCAGGTGATCGACTGGACTCTGCCATGGCTGTTTGTACCAAGGATCCATTTGCATACAGTTATTACCATAGAGATGCGTCATCATCACCATCACAGTCAGATGCCTTAAGTCCAGATCTGCCATTGTCTGTGAGCTGGTTCGTCACAAAGTGAGACCCGAGATCTGGATCATCTTGTGCAGGTGACAACCACTTTGCGAACGAGAAACAAAATGTCAATGACAGGAGGCACAAGCATCAACTAACTGCTTTCGGCTGTGTATGGACATACCTTCTCCGACCCTGTCCATCTCATGTCTCAGATTATCGACTCTTCTGGCTGTTTCTGATGTTGATCTCAGGAAAAGATTTGACTTCTCAAAGTGCTGTGCTTTCTTACCCTTGGAGCCAGCCGTGGGACTGGCAGCATGGGCCTCGCTCATTGTGAACAATGTCAAGACCTTGGTTTAGTGTGCACGTAGCCAAGCGGCTATCCCACCTGTTACTCCTCTGACCCTCTTAGAAGGGGCAGATAACAAGTGCTGATTTCTTCAGATTCACATCTGCCAATACGAGCGAATCTGTAGATTGCCCACCAAGTACCTCACATATTGGCAGAAGCCACAGCAGCCTTAGACCACCTCCTTGAAGGCTCCTTCCTCCGTCCATCACAGCAAAACACTCAAATTGTCATGCTGTTGAGCGATGTCTGACAGCCAACCCTAGGATAATGCTGTTGTCATAGCAAATGCAGCCTCAATTCAGCCAGAAGCAAATGGAGAGTTGCAAAGAGAGAACTGTTAGCACCTTTCGGCAACTTAATGAGCCCACACTTCAAACCAGCATCTCATGTCACATAGAGAACAGACTTCAGCACATGAGAGTTGAAAACCAAGCATGAGATATGAGAACCCAGAATTGTCCAGTACAGGGAAGCCTTCTTTTTTTTCTTTTTTCTTTTTTTCTGAACAGTGTGCAAGGAACTGAGCAAGGTGAATGACAATAAACCAGATTGCAGCATCCCACGGAAATCCAGATAATTTTGAGCCCAAACTGAAAGCAGTTTCAAACCGAGATTGTCGCTCCCCACCAATAGACGGAGCCCCCCCCCAAGGTGTTAGCGGCTACGTGGCACCCTAGGCCGCGGCCGCAGGATCCGAGTCCGCGGCCAGGATCCTAGGCCGCAGAACCGCGGCCGGGTCCGTGCGCGGCCGCGCAGGCGGGCGCACGCCCTCAAAATCGGCGCGTGCCGTTGGCCTGCGCACGTCCGCCGCTGCAGGCCTATGCACAAAAAAAAAAAAAAATCGAAAATTTGGGGGGGCCTGATTTCTGATATGTGAAAAAAAATTAACAAAATAGGAAAAAAAATGTGATTGATTGATTGATTGATTGATTGATTGATTGATTGATGATTGATTGATTGATTAAATGATTGATTGATTGATTGATTGATTGATTGATTGATTGATTTTTTTTGATTGATTGATTGATTGATTGATTGATTGATTTTTTTTGATTGATTGATTGATTGATTG